GTGGGGGCTGCCGCTGTGCAGACCAGGGCTGAGCACTCAACAACTTTGGCTTCTGCTGTTGCCTCTGCAACCCTAAGAAACTCAGGCACCGCAGTACAGGATGGGGGTGGGGGTAGGACCTGCTCTGCCACTGCTGTCCTTCTCTGGTGTCATTTTAACAATTCTGATAAAAACAAGAAAATAGGTGGGAAGAAACCCCTCTCCTTCCTGAGTACCCTCTCTGCTGGGCAGGGTTCAGGAACAGAGGGTGTTGACAGAAGCAGCTGCCTGCCTGGAGCTTATCTCCTAGTGGCATAAATAAGATCTAAGAAAACAAGTGAAACCTGGAATACGTTAGCAGGAGACAGCATCCACAGAAAAATAAAGATCAAAATGAATAAAAATGAAAAGGGGAGCAGAGTAAGGAGGGCTGGGAATAGCAGGGAGATGAACCTGGGCAAAGGCACAGCAAGGGCAGGGCAGGGGCAGGGCAGGGGCAGGGCAGGGGCAGGCAGAGGACAGCTTGGCAAAGGCCCAGGGTGGCAGGTCCTGAGTGTGGAGCCCATGGGGCTAGGGTATGGGGAAGGACTGCTGGGCAGCAGGGCTCTGCGCAGCTGGAAGGGCACAACTTCTGATCACAAGTGAGCTGCCTGCTCAGGGCCAAAGGCTGGGGGGCTGTGCTCTGACCCCAGTCTGTCAGGAGTTTCTGTGGCTGCTGGTACAGAGGGGCAGCAGGCCAGGGGAACCTCCTGGACTCATGAGGACTGGGACCAGTCACATTCCAGGCATGGTCTGCATGTGGACCCTACATGTCCTGCTGCGTGGCCGGAGGCATGAGAGGGAGGAGGCACAGGGACTTCCAGGCTGGGCCCAGGCCACGCGGAGCGATGGCATCTCTACTGGCCAGCACAGGTGGAGAGGGAGCCCAGAAATTCCCTCTGGAATTCAAGATCATCTACAGACAGCAAAAGGCTAGGAAAGGGCTGGGTGAGAAGTTCGGATAGATGCGGAGGTCTGGGAGAGACCAGAGCACCAGAGACCTGAGAATACCAGGAGAGAATCTGCAAGGACAGAGGACAACAGATGCCTGAGAGACGGGGCCCCGGAGCACAGGGGCTGTGAGAGGGGCCTCCAGGAAGCTGAGAGACCGGTACCCAGGAAGGGGAGCAGTGGCATCATCTCGAGCTGCTGATTTAACAGCCTGGGCCTGGCTCCGAACCCTGAGCCCCCAGGGTGAGGCTGCCGAGGCCCCCACTCCAGGGCCTGTGTGTGGAAGCACAGGGCAAAGCACCCAGCTGTTACAGGTGGGACCACTGCTCCATGTATTTCAAATGGTCCCAGCAGGTGGAAAAGCTTGCCCTGGGGAGACACTGCTTGGAGGCGAGCAGACGAGGGAGGGCACAGACCAGAAGGGCCAGGAAGAGCTGGAGTGTCCCCAGGGCAGCAGGTGGCAAGGCCGTGCTGGGCCACAGATACCCCAGTGTGAGCTACGGGCTCCACATAGGTAATCTCAGGCTGAGACATAGGCAGGGACAAGGGAAGAAAGAGAAAATGGTTTTGAAGTTCCCACCTCCAGCTGACTTCATGGGGGAGCTAGAGCCTCCATGGAGTGGACCCCTCCAACCTGGAAATGAAAGTCCCCACATAGCACTCAGGAAAAGGGACACTGAGCCATCCAGTCTGCTGAGGGGCAGACCCCAGAGCACCCTCACCACATGCAGCAGCTCAGGACTCAGCCTGGACGGTCAAAAAATCAGCCCAGAAGGTTGGATTTTGCAGAAAGATGCTGTAGGTTTTACAACTCTTTGCATTTTGAAAGTAACTTAAAGGAAGTGCTTGTGGTGGGTTTGAACCTGGCCCCAGCCAAACTGCAACAAAAATTAGCCGGGTGCTGTGGTGGGTGCCTGTAGTCCCAGCTACTTGGGAGGCTGAGGCAAGAGAATCACCTAAGCCCAAGAGCTGGAGGTTGCTGTGATGCCACAGCACTCTACCTAGGGTAATAAAGTGAGACTCTGTCTCTAAAAAAAAAAAAAAAAAAAGAATAACTTAAAATAAGTGCCTTTTGTGAAACTGTGTCATTCATTGAAAGCCTGAGAAGGTTCCTATTTTAGGAAGGTCTGAATGATACCAACTCACAATCAGTAAAAGTTCCCTTTACTCTCACATGGATCTCATCAAAGCCGCATAGCTGAGCACCACGGGAAACTGCAGTCCACAGCTGACCACATAGTTCTCATCCAGCAAACACTGCATACACGGAGTCCCACCAATCCAAAGCCTCTCTTCTCCTCACACATCCCTGACGAAGGTGCTTGTATTTCGATGTCTCCCTTGAGGAACTCAGCACAGAATGTTTCTTTCTGTTCGCCTTTGAGCACTAAGCCCAGTATGAAGCAAGTATGAAGCAAGTTTCCAGCAATTGCTGCTGAGAGGTGGCCAGGCCATGGGGGAGGTGGGGTCTCTACAGTTGCTTAAAAACACACATACACAGGCACGCGTGCTTACAGATGTGAGAACATGCACTCGGTATGCAGATATGCTCACGCATGCATACGTGTGCCCAGTCATACACATGTGTGCACTTGCACATGCACAGACACGCACACGCACACACGGTACTCAGTACACACGCACGTATACATGTGTAGTCACACATGTACCCTCACGCACTTTCACATGCATGCACATGGTACTCAGATACACACATACATGTGTACAGCCATATACATGTACACAAACACATGCACACGTGCACATGAAAACACCCACCTGCAGTCACATGCACAGCACACACGTACATTTCCAGCCCATACACATGAGCACATTACACCCACGTGTGCTCAGATACTCTCACATTTGTATACACATGTACCACATACATGTATATGATCACACATATTCACACACGCACATACATACGTGTATATACACACAGAATGAGACACATCTTGTCTCCACAGACCCTGGTGCTCAAAGCTAGCATAAGACTGAGGCCATAAAACCCCAACACTGCACTGTCCTGGGCCACTTTACCCCTGCATATCATGACACGCGTGACGACACCTTTGGGGCCTGTCAGGGTGATTGTTCCTGTGGCCATTTATCTCCTCAGAAGCCAAGTTATTTCTACCCAAGAAAAGCTGCTAGAGCTTAGCATGGGTAAAAGCCAAAGCCCCAGTTTTGTGAAGCCAGGGCTGCTGCTACGCGATTCAAGTGTCGTGTCACAGGGGAGACCAGAGTAGGAAGGGGCCAACCCGAGGATGGCACAGGGGACAAAGTGATGCAAAGCAGGGCTGACCGTCACTGGATGTGACTGCGTCATGAGGACCCAAACACTCTGGAGCCTCAGCAGGGCTGAGCTGTCACTGGATGTGAGGACCCAAACACTCTGGAGCCTCAGCAGGACTGAGCTGTCACTGCGTCATGATGACCCAAACACTCTGGAGCCTCAGCAGGGCTGAACTGTCACTGCGTCATGAGGACCCAAACACTCTGGAGCCTCAGCAGGGCTGAGCTATTGCTG